TATATATATACATACATGTAAATCATGCATTTTAGCTCATATTATGACCTTGAAATACTTATTCATTTAAATTCATTCTGCTTGCACCATTGTATTCTACCATGTTCTTTTTGGTACTATATTTTGTGTACACTTATTGCATGCTTTAAGTATTTCTTGTTTGTTTGTTCTTTGATTTTTTTTAAGCGAGTCAAATCGGTTCTTGTCATCTTGAGCATTTCATTGTACTGTTAACCCTGTGTTAACCTGCATATGACAAATAAACACAACTTGAACTTGAAATATATTTTGACTTTATTCAAACTCTTTCATATCTGGGTCCAATCCACTGCTGACCTCGACACTCACCCCCACACTGTTCAAATATGCACCAAAAAGAATAAAAACTACTTTAACCAACCAGAGAAAAAACAAAAGATTAGATTTAAAGTGACTTTGACTTACTATTGTAATCATTAATCAGTCAGAATGTCATCAACTTTACACCAAACCCACCTAATATGAATTTTTAAAAATAATTCTTATTAAGCTGGAAGATGTTTTGTGATTGAAATGTTTGCATAATACATATTTATTGAGATTCTACAAGGAGTGGTTTAATACTAAAACTAGTTACTTTGCTTGAGAAACTAACAACAACAAAATAAACAACCTTAAACACCACACCAGCATGAAAAACAAAATCCATCTCCTGGAGTTTGCATCATTAATATAAGCTGCAACATTTTTCAGCTTAGTGTAACAAATATATGTTGCACATTCACACAAGAAGAATCATGGCTGTAAAGCTCAAGGAGCCGTTTCATCTGTGCTCCTCCAGCTTGTGTCTCTCATTTCGATGTGACTTCTAAAAATACTGTGCTGTAAGCCTCGTTGTACTGCTGCACATATTTCTCTTCTGAAGAAAGTGTTTGGTAAATTCCTGTGTTTGAACACAGATGACAAATAATGGCGTGCAGTGACAATTTCAGATAAAAGCATTGGAAAGAAGTACAAAAATTGTATTATGTGTGGGTGGAATAATCCTAATCAGAGCTACAGTTTCATCTATTTTTGACAAAATAATCTTTTCATTTCATTGAGGAATCCACTGAGTGGAGGTGGGGGCCCAATTTATTTCAACAAGCATTTCCCTGCATTATGCTTTTGCCCACTCCACATACAATTGTCAGTGAGCTAATGTCAGTCTCACCATGCAGCACAGACTGATGAAGACTCCAGTAAATACTCAAGCAGTTCTTCTCTCTCTTCATCCCTCGTTTGCACTGGCACCCGTGCAGCGGGGTGGACAAAAGTGCTGTCATGGCGTTCTCACACTGGTTTCTGGCCCCAGGCCTTAGCTTCATGCTGCCATCTCCCGCAACACACTGCCTGAGAGTGCGCAGCCGTGGGCTGCAGGCGTCATCGCTGGAGCAAGTGTCTCCAGCACGTAGACAGTCCCTTCCACCTGCAGAGAGCACCAGGCGTGGAACTCCTGCAACATGAGACATAAAGGGATATTCATCTGAGAATATGATCATCTTTAACATAGGTGATAAAATCAAGGTATGACGGTAAAATCTGATTTGATTTTAAATTTGTAGGACACTATATTTACAGGAAATGTGGAAAAATAATCAAAAACGCTTAAAGTTGAGTGAGGAAAAAAACGAGTGATCACCTAGAAAACGAAGAAAAAAAAATTTGAATTTTTTTTTTCAAATTTTTTTTTACCCTTTTTTTGAGCAGGTAAAATTTTATATATATTTTTTTAATTATTACCCCCCTCCCCCCGAGTCTCGCTCTCGCTCAAGGCAGATGCATTTTCCTCTCCCTCCCCTGTTCTCCCCTTCCTTCTGCTTTTTTTTGCTCTCTGTCTGTGTCTCAGAGCTCCTGTTACACATCTTCCGAAAGAAAAATACTATTATGGATCTGGTGAGCTGGATTTTCAACGCAATCAACAAAATATTTTCAACAACATGACAGGGTCCTGGAGAGCCCTCATGTCCCACAGAGACTCACGCTTGCTTGATGAGTCATGGACCCGTGGGGAGTTTGGGAGCTGGTGTGTCTTTCAGTCATGTCCACCTGGCGCTATGACTGTACGGAACTAAAGAAAGAAAAAACGATCAAAATATTGCTCCAAGCCTGGCATGAGTATCACCATAGAGATGACTCACGTACTTGGTGGGGATTTCAGGAGGAAGAAATAAGAGAATGGGTGGTCTCTTGTTTAAAACACTCCGCCAATTATTGGATTAAGTATCAGTTCTTAGCTACGGTTTACTCCAAAGAGCAGGACATATGGTCAAATGCTTTATATCGTCCCGACAAGTATGTCAGCCCGAGGCCATGGCAAATGTTTTGTAATGGGAAAAAAGATGTGTGTACAATTAGCTTGCCCCACAGGCCTTGTCACGAGTTACCCGGATGGGAAACTTACTGTTGAAATCATTATAAAGAAGAATTCACAACTCATGCAGCTGAGGTAGTGTGGAAAAAGTATAGTGACAGATAGTGGAGAAGATCTGTACCTGACGGTACAAGTTGCACTAACGTCATATTAGGACATAAGCTAAAAACTAGAAAGAGTATTCAGGGAGTGATTGTCCCCTTCGTCTCCGATTCTATGATTGCTCTGGCCGAAGGACATGCACTAAGACAACGCCTATGTTTTGGCGATGAATTGTATGGCTACGATTGGGTTGGCCCAAACAAAATCTACTCTAATCTCACATGTCAATATCCAGAAGAAAGTTGGAAAAAATGTGGCAAGGGAGAGGAAGAACATAACTGTGCCTGGTATGAAACTGTTAGTTACACAGTAGGCCATAAAGTCACGGAAGTAGTGCATGAAGTAGGAGAAGTGATCAAGGAAGGCGGAAGAACCGTTGAAGGATGGATAGTTGATCTTTTCCTTCAGATCTGGCCTTACTTGGCAAGCTTAGTTGGTGTGATAGCTGTTGCCTTATTAGGATGTGTGCTCCTACAAGAAGGCATCAAGGCCATGTGCCGCCCATGTGGGAGGAACTACAAGCCACTCCCACCAGAACCGGGCACTGGCTCAACTTAATACTGAGAGAATACGGAAACAGTCTCACATCCGCCCTGGAGCAGCAGAGAGCAGAACTCAAGATTTCCTCGGAGTCAAGAACATCATGGATTGCACAACAACCAGTGCTCCAATTGATGTGAGTACATTTTATGCAGACTCGGATAGCACTACGGCCCCCACGCAGACCTCCTGGCCAAGATGCCCATCCTATTTTAAGGGGAGCACGGTAGAATATTTTATAATAATGATTGCATGGGGGCAGCACAGTGGCGCAACTGGTAGAGCTGCTACCTCTCAGCGAGCAGGTCCTTGGTTCAAACCCCGGTCCAGGGGCCTTCTGGGTGGAGTTTGCATGTTCTCTCCGTGCATGCGTGGGTTTTCTCCGGGTACTCCGGTTTCCTCCCACAGACCAAAAACATGCTTGTTAGGCTGATTGGTAACTCTAAATTGTCCCTAGGTGTGAGTGAGAGAGTGAATGGTTGTTTGTCTCTATGTGTCTCTGTGATGGACTTGCGACCCGTCCAGGGTGTACCCCGCCCCTCGCACAGTGATTGTTGGACATAGGCACCAGCGACCCCCGTGACCCAAAATGGAATAAACGGGTAAAGATAATGGATGGATGGATGGATGGATGGATGGATGGATGATTGCATGGATGTGCTACTGCCACACAGGCAAGTGGGGTAAAGGGCGATTGATACGATTCCCTGTGGCCTTCCAGGCCTACGCCAAGATAATCGTGACCCATGTAATCCTAAAGAGGGCTGAAATAATGCCACACTTATTTGTTACCTATATCTTGGGAAGGGTCCAGACCTCACTCCGGCAGAGAGTAGTGATTTCATCTTGGCTTTAGCAGATTCCATCATAGTGACCCTTGAATGTGTGGCCACACTCACCCCTCTATCTATACCCATCACAAACTGTGGGAACACAGCTGGAAGAATCGTGATGGCGGTGATGGAAGGAGCTATAACCATCACCATGTTGGCACACCTGCTATACCAAACCCTATCCTTGCGACCCCAAAACAGACAACGATGGACCCTGAAGATAGTCATCCTAATCGGATGGGGTCTGGCCTGGGGAATCTGTTCTGTGCTATATTGGACTGGTCTCTGTACCATAGTACCCATCGTAGTTTGGATGATGACTTATGCTGCCATCTTCAAAACCAGACCTGAACCTGATCCTACTGCACCGGAGGGAAGTGGAGGCCACGGAATCTCCATAGATTGAATCCCCAATTCACCAAAAATACAAAGAACCTTAATCATTATATCAACAATGCTTAAATATCCCCCCTGCTAATGCTATTATTAATCATTAATCTAATGTCTGTTTAACTCCGGGCCACATTGCTCGATGAGGTCCTTAATGTCGGCTGACGGCCTGTATAGGCCCAGTAACGGTTGAGGGCCTTTGAAAAGCAATGGAACCCGGGGAAGAAAAAAATATAAATAAAATAATAATAATAATAATAATAATAATAATAATAATAATAATAATAAAAATAAAATAAAAAGTAAAAAAAAATAAAAAATAAAAATAGTAGTTGTGTTGTAGTGTTAGAACTTGTTTTATCCCCTTTTGTCATTACAGGAGCATGAAGTAACCTGCTGTTTCTGTCACAAAGGATCAACAGAAACCAAGTATCTCTGGGCTATCGGTTCGTCCTGGTGGTGCCAGTGCTGTCACTCTGGCTTGGTGGCCAGAACTGCGGTGAATGGAATTCTTGTCTCAGACGAGCCCCATAGTCCGCCACAAGTATCCACAGCGGTGTGCATGGAAACACAGCGCACCTGCAAAGTCATCTGGACCTCGGCTCTGAACTCGGTGCCCTATCGGCCAAGGGGAGCTATCCCACCACGAGCCTCATACTACCCGGTGGTAGCCAAGTTGTGGGAACATCTCCACAACGTCACCAGGTTCGTGGCAATCCATCTGTACACTGGGCTGCCCTCGGTCCACAGCCCATCCTTCAGGGTTACGCAGGGATCATCAGAAACTCTGCCCCAACAGTGCCGGCCTCCTTAGGGGCAAACCTAGGAGCTACTACACCACTGGTTCCAACTCCCGCGATGACAGCAATTCAAGAGCTGAATACAAATCCACCTAACGTCCATCTGGCACCAACCCTGATGGTGACGACTCGACATCAGACCCCAGCCGTTACTTCACCTGACCTGCCACTTACAGGGGCTCAGCCTGAGAACGAGCCCATGGAAGTAAGGACAACATCTCCTGAACCACCCCTTCTCTCCCTGGAGTGCCCAGAACTGTACCAATTGGAAACCTATCTCGATCATTTTGTGAGCACTGAAGTTGGCCCACCTAGTCCGACCAACTCCATGAGCACTGCTCCGTATGATCCTACCAGCCCTCAAGATTCCAACCCACCAAGCCTGATAACCCCGGATGGAACATTTCTGGACACCACTCATCCTGATGGGCCAGTAAATGCCCCGCGATAATCGATGCAAGAACGACCACAGCGAGCGCCGGAAGTGTATGCATGGGTCTATTCAGAAAAAGGGCAACCCATCTATGAGCCCGTCACTCCTGTGGAGTCTCCCATGAGTGTGGAGGCAACATCCTCAGCCTGTCACCAGCACAGTCCCACCTTCGTCTGAGGATGCACATCACCCCGGGGATTTGACATCTCAAGTGGGCAACTCACGGGAGGTCGACTCTGGCGAACTGACGATAGTGGATTATTGGGATGCTGCTGACGAGGAGGCCCCAAAGCCTTGGGCCTAGCGATACTGAAGACCCAGCACCGTATCATGAGGATCTGGTCGATTTGGATTACGAAGAAGATGTCTTAAAAGTGGATACAGCTGATGAACATCGAGACTGGCTTGGAGCTTAAGTATGGGTCAAGGGAACAGTCTGACTCCGTGGAGTGGGTGTCAAAGATGTGCAGAGTTCAGCCTGCTCCTACGGCACGGGCATGTCAAGACATGTTCGTTTTGTGTTGTTCTGCTTGTTACCATGTTCTGCTTGTAGGCCTCGGAGCCTGGATTAATGAAAACCATGTGTAGAGAAACACATACATTCACACACCCCATAAGCACAAATGTATATGACACACTCACACAACTACACAGGCACACACAGGCTCAGTTGGAAGACACACACACAGAGAGAACAGCAGAGCAGAAGATGTCTTCTCTTTTTAATAAAAATTACCAGTTTCAGATGAATGAGAAAGATGTGTTTATAAAAAATCAATAAACAAGTAGATAATCAAGTGATATTGTAAACTTTGTGATTTTAAAATGTAAACATTATGATTTTAGAATGTAATCTGTTTTAAGCTTGTTCATGTTGTTGATTGTTGAAAGAAGGCATGAATGTTCTAGAAGGAGTTATACAAGCGAAGGTATTATGCAATGGAAAAGCCCCAGAAACAGCTCTGACCAAATCAGGATAGGAAA